CTCTCTCTCTCTCTCTCTCTCTCTCTCTCTCTCTCTCTCTCTCTCTCTCTCTCTCTCTCTCTTCCTCCCCTCCGCGTGTGCTCACTCTCCCCTCCCGTTCTCGCGGTGCCGAGCGCAATGCTCCGGAGCCCGCCCGACGTGCTGAGTGCGAACCCGTGCGCGTGCCTCGTGCGTTCTCCCCCCTCTTCTCCTCTCTCTCTCTCTCTCTCTCTCTCTCTCTCTCTCTCTCTCTCTCTCTCTCTCGTCGTCTGGCTCGCTGCCGCTCGCTACCCGCGCTTCCGCGTGAGCAAGCTCCGTGCGTTGTGACCAACGAGCGTTCCTCCTCTCCCTCTCTCTCTCTCTCGATCGCGCGTCGTGCGAGTTGACGGGCCCTGTCCGCTGCAGGTACGCTCCCCGCATTCCTGAGACCGCCCCCCCTTTATACCCCACCGATCTCGTTTGCTGCTTCTACTTATTTTTGTGGCCCGGGGCGCCTGGTTCGTAAGGCAGCAAAGGTTGAAATTTTCATTCCATTTTTGAACTTTCGTTCTTCATTTCATACTTCCTCCCGCTTTCCCTCTCCCATCATCCATCCCTGCATGCCTACTCCAATAGGATCCAATCTACCTCCGATGGTCAGATCGTTCTTAAGCAGGGGCCCTCTTCGTTGCACCTCCGCTGACGGAAACCCCCGCTCGTACGTGGTCGCGTTCTTCGTTGCTTCCCAATTCAACGACCTTCTTTTGTTCTTCCCGCGTTTTTCACCCCCCCCCCCCCCTAGACAGTTGCCAAGAAGCTCGAGACGCGTGCTCCTTCCATCCAGTTATCAAAGATCTGGGCGCGCGTAACCTTGCTTGCATGTTTGAACAGTCAGATCTCTCTTTCGCAACGGGATCCTGATTATTCTTGAAAATCAAGATTGCTCCCCGCTCCCCCCCTTTTGAGGTGTCGCAGCATCCAACCCTCCTTGTCTGCATTGGTACAGACTTTTCTCCTATTGTTCGGTGAGGACTCAGCCGCAGAAACAGTTACCAAGAAAGTCAAGAGCTCTCGCTTATTCGTAACTGTTCCGAAGGCGGCCCGCGATCTGGCCAGATTTCTAGCAAGAGCCAGTCTGTTTCCTGCGCTGATCAGCCCCGCTCTTCTTTGGTTCCAGGTTGGATTACCTCTGTGGCCCCATTGGTATTGTCCTGGCCCCACTCTTTCTCAGTGCCCTTGCTCCTTTTCGATCGCCCATCCCGTTTCTTATGTCCCTTGATCGCTTTCCGCAAGAGCTCAGACATTCTTGAATATCCATAGGTCTTGACAGTCCGGACAAGCTACCCGCACCTTGTTTTTTGCCGAGTCCCTGCTTCTCCTCGTCGGAACCCCACCGTTGCGGTCCTCGCGCGATCTATCGGCCTGGCTACTCCCGCGCCGACCGTTTCGACTCCTTTTACTCAGCACCGAGGTAGGCCCTATGTTGATCGAGCCGACTTGCATCTCGTAACGTCAACCCCAGATCTCCGGTAGGGTTTACGGTCGCCGGTATTCGTTGGTCCTACCGCTTCCCTCGGTGAGTCTTCTTCCTCAAGGTTTTCTTCCTCGAATCGTCGGTGACTGCCCCCAACACGCGTTCTCTGCGCGCGCCTTCGAAAACTCTGACTTTGGGTCCGCTCTCAGCCCTGCTTACGACCTGGCGTCCGCTGCCTGTTTCCCTGCTTGTTAAACGTTAGCAAAATTAAAAAAAAAAAAAAAAAAAAAAAAAAAAAAAAAAAAACTCCCAAAAAAAAACCTTCAAGGCTCGTGTATTCATGCATCAACCACGCAAAACCAATAAAACAACCCAAAAAACAAGTCGCGATTTTCCCAAAGGGTGCACTCAGCTGGTACGCAGCCGCCCGACAACGGGTCCTCTATGGCGGACTTCTTTCCAGCGACGCACTTCGGTTAGGGCGCCCTGCCAGGTGCGCAACTCTCCCCTGCGACACTCGGCGATGGTGCATGAAATAGCGGGTACCAGTTCTGATACCAATGCAATCAGACTCGCTATCTTTCACACTTCTCATGCATGCAAACAGGTGCGCAGCAAACTGGCGACAAGCGCCCACTCAGAACTCGGAGATATGGTAGTCGAGAATACAGTTCAGATACAAGTTCACTTCAATGGCTATGGCGACACAGCGCCCACACAACTCTCTGTTCGCACACACAAGATCACCCTGGATATCCCACACGCGTTACTCTATACACACGTGCTCTGCACGCTATCTACAGCTATGGCGTCTATGGCCGCTGCTACCCTATTGCTATGGCTAAGTTTCTTCTCTCTCGCCCACTTCGTCCTCCGGCTCACTGTAGACCACCTCGCACAAGTCGCTGTGGCAGCGGTTCCGCATGGCTCAAGCAGGAATGAATGAATGGCTGGGCGCTGCCCTTTGGTTTTTACTTCTGCAACTCGTTGGTCTGGCCCTTTCCCATGCCCGTAGTGCACACAGTCCCATGCGATACTTGCTTGACTGGACTAGGACTGACTGG